AGTGCTGGGTGCCCCTGGCGGGGGGGGGGTGTGTGTGCCACAGTGGGGAGTGGCCATGTGTAGCCCCCACGCATCCTTGCAGGCGGCACCTCCACACCCCTCCGCCACCCGATAAGCGGCTCAAAGTCCGGCTGTGCCAGCTGCCGTCACTGGGCAGGGCGGGTGGGGTGACCATGGGGAGGAGACCCACACCCTGCCCGCCCCGGCCATCCATGGCACCACCAACACCCCAGCACTTCCCCGGGGTGCACGGCCAGTGCTGGCACTGGGGACCCCAGCAGCACCGTGGTGGGGATCTTGCCCCATGGCCCCAGCAGCCGGAGCAGCACTGGAGGGTGGTGGCACATCAGAAGGTGGGAGTCCAGCAGGATGAGGATGATGGCGAAGGCTGAAGGCTCCAGGTTGACCTTTAATGTCACACAGGGTCCAGGGGGTCTGTGTCCATAGCGGAGCTTGGGGACGAGGGACCAGGGGACCCAAGCCAGGGCAGCCTGGCACTCATGGGGGGCTCCTCGCCCCAAACTGGTGTGGGCTCCTCACCCCAGGCAGGGTCCAGGCACAGCCACTGGTGTGGGCAGGGCACGGGCGCTGCCACGGGGGTCCAGCGGCAGCTCTGGGGGGACACAGCAGCTCAGAGGTCACTGCCACCCTCGCCCTTGCCGGGCAGCCCGTTGAGGGGGCTCAGCGCTGGTCCATTGCTCTCGTTCAGCCGCCGCACGCGGTAGCTCTCATAATGGACGTTGTGGGTGATGTCCTTCAGGTCCTGCAGGTGGGACCTGCCCGGGGTGGCAGTGGGGAGGAAGGGAATCAAATCATCATCCTCCCACCATCCCCGCCGCAGGGTGCTGACACCCCCCACCCTGTCCCCCGCTCACCGGATCAGCAGGTCCCGCAGGAGGGGGAACTCGCAGTGCGCCGGATTCTCCACTGCAAAGCAAGGCAGAGTAGGCAGCGGGGCTGGCAAGGTGCTGGCAGGAGGGAGGGTGGCGAAGGGATGCCCAGGAGCGCATCCCAGCAGGCTCTGGGTACCACCGGAGCACTGGCACATGCCCCCACTCAGCACCCCCAGCACTCACCCAGGCAGGGACGCACTCACGGGTGCAGCTCCCCTGCACCCCTGGCAGACCCCCTGTACCCGGGGAGGGTTGGGGGTGCAAGGGGCTCCGCTCACCTTCAATGATGCCCCACTTGGTCTTGCGGCCCAGCACCCGCTTGCCATTCACCTGGTGCTCCTGGTCCGCCCCCACCACAGCAAAGGGGATCTTCTCCTGCCAGTGCAGAGGAGCATGCTCACCCCAGGGTGCTGCCAGGCTCCCCCAGGGGTGTCTCTCCCCCACCCTGGTCCCCAGGGTCTGGCATCCCCAATCCCAGCGCCCCAGCACTCACCCGAATCCTGTCGTTCAGCACCCTGTCATCTGGGTCCTGGTCAAAGTCCTCCTGCGGGTATACGCTGATGGCATGGGTCTTCAGGTCCTCCTGGATCTGCGGGATAAGGGGCTTGAGTCGGGGTTGAGGAGGACACGGGGCACCCTGGGAGCCCCTCAGGGATCTGTCCTTACGCGTCGCTTGAACTCTGCCCGTTCCTCCAGGGTGAGTGTGTCGGCTTTGGCGATCACCGGCACCACGTTGACAATCTTACTGAGCCGCCGCATGAACTCCAGGTCCAGTGGACGCAGCCTGCCAGGGACCACCATCACGCTGGGATGTCCCTCCAACCACCACTCCAGGGTGACACCCCTCACCATCACCCCGGGATGACCCTCCCCACCATCACCTCAGGGTGACCCACACCACCAAGCAGGGAGCACCCATGGGCGCTGTGAGTGGGGACTCACCAGTGGCCAGTGGGGGGGACAAAGTAGACACATCCATGGACCCGGGTGTCTGGGATCTTCCTCTTGCGGGTGATGAGGATCTCCTCGCGTAGGTACTTCTCGTACTGCTCGTTGATATATTTGATGATGGGGTCCCAGCTGAGGATGAGGAGTTGGGGGATGGCATCTGAGCTCAACTCCCACCCCAAATTGCCACCCACCAAGCTGGGATGCTGCACCTTGCTGTGTCTTACCAGTTCTCATTGTTGATCTGGTCCCCGAACCCTGGTGTGTCTGTCACTGTCAGCTTCATCTTCACACCCTTCTCCTCGATGACTATGGGGCAGAGATGTGGGTAAGCAGGGAGCCAGGGGGGTTCTGCAGCCACATCTGAGTCCCCTGCTTCTCCTCAGGCTTGGTGGGACACAACCCCACGGTGGTGACCTTACCATGGGTGATGGACTGCAGCTGCACCGTCTTGGGTATGCGCTCCTCCTGGCTGGGCTGCGAGGCTTTGCGGCTCACCTTGGACTTGAAGAGGGTGTTCACCATGGTTGACTTCCCCAGCCCGCTCTGCCCTGCGGGGATGCCAGCAGCTCCCATTTGTTCCCTCCAATAAA